AACCAAATATCTTCCTCTTGTGAAATGTATTCTGCATGCATACAAGCTCTTTTTTTAAGTTGCTTTTCATATTAAAATAGTATGGTTATATAAAGTTTAACAAAGCTTTGAAACAGAGGGAGCTTCTATTAAGAGTAATTATTTCCAGATGTAATTTTTCTCTTAAGTGATTGATAAAGTTTCAGCTGGTGTGAGAAATATCCAAAACACTGGCTTAATCAAGAATATTTATTTCTTACTCATAGTGGAGTTTATCTTGCATAGTCCAGGGTCTATGTGGCAGCTCTACATTTTGGGGACCCCAATTCTATCTATCTTTTTGCTCAACCATCTCTCAAGTTTTACCTTGGTCCTCATAGTCCAACATGGGCTTGCCACTTGCATGATCACATGCCAGTCAGTAGATGGAGAGAGCAAGGCTCTGCATACTCCTCTTTCATTCACAGCCTTTGGCCAGAACTTAGTCAAATGGCCATACCTAACTGCAAGGTACACTTTGAAATATATTCTTTACTTCAGGCAGTTGTGTGCCCAGCTAAAAATTGGGGGAAGGCTATTCTACAGAAGAACAGAAAGTACAAATTAGAGACAATTTTTATCAAACATATCCTTTCTTCTATTTCTGCAGTGCTATGGAAATGCTATGTAAAATGTCTGCTAATTTGTTCATTCATCCTTAAAATAGTTTCTTCCTCTGATCTAGGGTTACAAGTACAGATCATTACTTCCTAAGTGATGGTCTTTATGTAACTGAAGACCAGCTAGAGAGCCAAAAACCTTTACAATTGGATGTAATTATGGTAAAACCTTATAAACTCTGTAAAGATCAAGAAGAAAATGATGCAGTGTCTTCTGCTAAGAAGCCAAAGATAGCACAGGAAGACACAGAAAACACTGCCTCTACTAACTGTGACTCTTATTCAGAAGGACTGGAAAACGAAACAGTGACACAGAGAAAGGGCCATACTTGCCTCGAACCATCATGTTCATGTTCTTCTGAAAGCCAAGAATGCCAGACCACAGTCAGCACTGGGGAAATTCTGGAAATTTTGAAGAAAGGGGATGCATTTGTTTTAGATATTGACTTAGATTTTTTTTCAGTCAAGAATCCCTTCAAAGAAATGTTCACTCAGGTAAATAAGGTATTTTTTAAATGTAGATCTTGAGAACTATAGGTCATTTCTCTAGATCAGGGTTCAGCAAACTTCCTGCAAACAGCCTGATAGTAATGAATTACTGGGGGTTCCATATGGTCTCTGTCACATATTCTTCTGTTATTTTTTTAAAACACTTTAAAATTATATATACCATACTTAACTCAAAGGCCATACAAAAAGAGGTTGCAGGCCGTGGGTTGCTGATCCCTGCTCTACATAATATTCATTACTTTGCATTTATTAATTGGGGTAATGTGTGCACGGATGGTTGAAAAAACTAAAATCATATAGTACAAGAAAGTGTGTACATAAAAGAATGTCACTCTGTTATCCCATCCCCATTCCCTCAGATTTCTTTCCTCAGAAATAAAAACCATGGCCAATTTCTTGGTGTGTCTTTCCAGAGGTATTCTATGTATATACAATCCTGTGTAACAAATGTTTCACTCAACAGTGACGTACCTTGTTACCCATGTAGTATTTGTAGTTAATGACTCAGACCTGTGATCCTTAGAGTACTTCGTCTGGTTTTCAGATGATATTAGTTTGCACAGATATGAGATAGAACTATTCATTTAAGAAACAGATTAATTCATGATCTACATGAGCATTCCTAGGGGCATTTCATGGGCATATATAATTGCTTACTTTAACATTTGGGAGGTTGTTCCAAGTGTGTGCTTTTTGAGATTCAAATTAACTGTCTTTTCTATCTAAGTTGAGTATTCGATTTATAGTGGTGACATTGCACTTTATAATCCTTACTCTGTATACGTATCAGAAACCATTGTGATTTATCTAACTTATCAAAGACTTCTAGTAGATACTGATTAAAAATAGGTGAAATTTTAGGATTTCATAAAATCTGGAGCAAGAATGAGGGACCTAGAGTGCTCTTCCAACTTGCAAATGAGGGAGGAAAATCCCCCTGCTGTTGGACCTGGAACTGTGGCTATGTTCACCAGCTCTCAGAATTAGAAAATGACCTTAGAAATATGTAGAAAACTCAGAGAATGGGCATACCTGGAAGCTGAAGTTATTAGGAATTTGTCCTACAAATATACTTACTGAATACTTGTAATGAAAATTTCTACAAAGTTACATAAGAAATGTAAAGGCAGTTACCCCTTTTCCAGTGTTATCAGGAAACAGGGGAAGTGGGGATTTTTGTATCCTTTATACCCTTTGGCACTATGCAACTTTTTGAAAAAAGCATGTGTTATACTTTATAATGTAACAGCTACTTTAATATAGTGATGAAAGTTATTTACTTTTTTTTAAGGACACATTCAAAAGTCAAAGAGCATTAAGCTTTTACTTCTACTGCTTATTAGCCACAAAGTTAAAGAGAAAGCTGTTTAACTTTTCTGACTCAGTTTCTCCAATTATAAGATTGAGATGATAGTCATACCCAACTCACAGGATTTTTACGAAGAGGATAGTACCACAACATTGTGCTTAATGAATTTTAGCTGTTGTGTGTAATCTCCTAAATATGATTGTTGCAGCCAGATACACTGACCTATAATGGGGCTGTCTAGCTGTGCTAAATGGGGAGAGAGGTTCTCCTGCATAGTCTGTACAGCAGACATCCTTCTTGCATTGTGTCTGCCTCAGTATTGCCTTTGTACATCTGTGGCTGGAGGAAGGGCTGCAAAGTGTTTGTGGGGATTTGTTGTTATTTAATATAAGTATGTCTCCTATAAATAAATACCTAGTCCTAGGATTAGATCCTAGAACATATCCATTTATAGAGTAGAATATTTTTAGAAATATTTTCATCACATTACCTGTTAGCCAGTAAGTTTTCTTCCATATCTAATTTTTTTACGTTCTTGTCATGCCAAGATAAATAGCTACCCTGAAGAAGTGATAATATTTACTGTGAAATCTGAATTATATACCCTGTTCCCAACCTAAGCTTTAAATGATTATCTAAGATGTTCTATTTGCACCACAGCCGTTTTTCACTTAGAGCTTATCATTGAAAAAAATTAATTTTTTTGTAGTATATGAATTTTTGTTTTGTTTTCCAGGAGGAGTATAAAATCTTACAAGAGCTATACCAATTTAAAAAGCCTGACACCAACCTGACAGAGGTATCCTCCACTTGTTCCTTCTGGGTCTTGTTTATTTATCACACATCTACTATCTTACAGCTTATTAAAGTGATGTCAACAACCATCTAGTCTTATATGTGTGTATGTGTGTGTGTGTGTGTTTATTGGGGAAACCAGTGGTTAGTACTTAAAAACCATGTTTTAACTAACTGAATTGAAATTTTCATTGTAATGGGATTTTACTTGTTTTTTGAAAGAATATGTAATCTCAAATTTTCAATGTGTTTACAGGAAGATTTAGTAGATTGTGTTGATACTCGAATTCATCAGTTAGAAGATTTAGAAGCTGCTTTTGCTGATTTGTGCGACAGAGATGATGAAGAAACTGTACAGAAATGGGCTTCAAACCCTGGGTAAGACCCTCAGTCATGTTTTTACCCAACTCTACTATATTTCAGTCCTAGGTCTATGACTAAATTTGCTACATAAATTGCTTTTTAAAAATTAGGATTAAATTTCAACACATTTACTAACAATAGTTAATATTTATTGAGTGTTTTCTATGTGCTGAATATGATTCTTAAGATTTTTCCTTGCATTATCTTATTCCTTACAACAATCTATGGCTTCATTATTATTATTTCCATTTTATAAGTGAAGAAATTAAAGCACAGAGGTTAGGTAAGTTGCCCCAAGTCACAAAGTGGATATACTTTTAGTTATGTAATAGCTGCCCCTACTGTATATAAGATGTGCTAGTTCTTACGGAAAATTAAAAATGAATAAGACTGTCCCTTTTCTAAGTAGAATAAGAAAAAAAACCTATCAACAGAGAAGTAATTTACTAGACAGGTGAATTAAAATGTGAAAATTTACCTCGTTTTAAGGATAGCCCAACTAGAAGCATTAACATTAGCACTAACGTTATCTTGGAAATATGGAGAGGAAAATTCTTACGGAGTGGTCATCTGTTGATTTGCAGAGTGATGTGAAGACTGTCCTTAGTGTTAAAGCTAGTTTGAAGGCATACATAAATGGTATTCTTTTCTCTAAAATAGTTCTTTAAATCATATAAACCTAAAAGGCCAGTAAACTAAAATAAAACCCTCACACACAAACTTTTTGTCCCTATGAGCATGGGAAGATCAGAACTAGCTTATTTTCAAATTGATCTCCCACAGACTAACCAAAATCATTCTCCATTGGGTAAATATAAGAAATTAGTTACAAGATACCAACATAAAACAGAGTTAGAATCATAGTACTTTCAGTCACCAAGATTTGTTAGGTTGTAGTTATTGAAAATAATTCATCAGATCTCTAGATAATGCAAACTAGAATAGGAGTTGCCTCTGGGGAGAAGAACTGTATGTCTAAAAGATGAAGTATATGGGGGAAAATACATTTTTTAATTCAAGTATAATTAATATACAATCTTAAATTGGTTTCAACTATATAGCATATTGGTTCAACAGTTACCCATATTATTAAATCCTTACCGTCACTAGTGCAGTTATTGTCTGTCAACATAGGAAGATGTTACAGAGTCATTGGCTATATTCTCCATGCTGTCCTGCCATCCCCATGAACAACTTACATTATGATTGAGAATTTTTATGGCCTTTTATCCCCCTTCCTTTACCACCCACCCACTGTAACCCCTCCTCCATGATAATCTCCAGTCACTTCTCAGTGTCCATGAATTTACTGCTAGGAAAAATATATTCTTTTGCTATGTGTATCTGTTACCTATTCAAAATATTCAGTGTAATTTTTACTTTAAATATTCAGAAACATATGAAACATAAAAAACTTCGCTATTGCTAAGGAAAGCAGTGGTATGGAAAAACAAAAGCCATAATAGTATTTATTGTTCACATCAATAAATAGTGACCAGTCACTTTAACATCAGTTAATGCTTTTCTCTTCAATATAGGGAGCTAGTTCTAAAAATGATTTCCTCTTTGATATTATGATGGGAGAGAGATATAGAAATAAGTCACAGGACATGATTCTTCCTAGAAATACTGGAAAGTACCTATTACTTTGTGATTTTGTGAACTCTGAAGGAAATGAAAACTTGAACAAAACAAAATAAAGCCTGAAAACCTTAGAATCCTGAATCTAGTCCAGAGATGGGGCTACCTTCCACTGAAATCCACCATGCCTGCTGAGCATGCCCAGTTAGCTCTTTTTCACTGGCAGGGAGTTCTGTCACAGACTTGAAGAAACGAGGCTACAACAGTAGTAAGTTTAGACTGTGGTTGGAATTAGGGAGAAAAAGAATAGCACAAAGTAACAGAAGATGAGACAGCAAGAAAATGTCCCCATACTCACCATGCCCCTAAAAGGACCACACCCTCAGCATGGAGTCTTTGCTATTCCTAGGGAATAAGAGGAGGTGGGTGATTAGGGTCCAGAAGCCAGAAAGTGTCATTAATAAAAAGAGAAATAACAGGATATGTGGATAGATAGGCCTCCATGCCTCCCTTTTTCTTACTTTTTTCCCTCCCAGCAGATGAAGGAATATTGGAAAAGAATTAAACATTAATTAATCAGGACTTTGAAAGAGTTCAACCTAAATAAAATAAAAGCACCATTGTAATTACACCACTTTTCCTGTTATAATTGTATATGTCAATAAATGTGTCCTTAATTTTTTAAAAAACTTCTAGGAAACTATCTTTTCTCATCACAATGTGCTGAAGGCTCTTCCTTTTCTTACTGATCAAAATAACTTTTAAAGTCAAAGTAGAATTTCTGTTTTTAAAGGAGGATAATCCTAGTTTCTTGAATGGTAATTTTCACCCTTAAGCACAGTCTGTAATTTTTTAGGTTAGAAAAGGTTAGAGAACGTTTATTTCTTAATATTTTAAGATGCTATTTGAACAGCTTTATCTTTCATTTCAGGGGGTATGAAACATACCATTAATGATAAATTTTAAGTGTAATATATATCATCTGCTACTGTAATTTGAGTTGAGATGGATGTGATGTTTAATTGAGGCTTTTTTCCAGAATGGAATCACTAGTTCCACTTGTACAAAGTTTGAAAAAACGGATGGAAGTGCCAGACTATGAAATGGTAAATATTTTATGTTGAATTATAAAATTGACCCTTTAAAAAGGCATTTTTCTGGCTAGAAAAAAATGTGCTTTTTGTTAGTGATTCACTTTTGAAAAAAAACATACTTTTTAGAAGCCAGAACACTGGAAAAATTTTCTAGAAAAAACATGTTTTTCTCAGTTTTTTGTATGAAGCAAAAGTGCTGTGTATTTTTTTATTTTGTCTGTGGTTAGATCTCTTCTTGCCAGAGAAAACATATACAGTGTCTAAAGTGTGTTCTTTATTGATTCATTTTCATACTCTCTCTCCTTTCCTTCCTCTCCGAAAACTTTCCTGATTGTAAAAACCAAAGACAAAGGGCAGCCCTGTGGCAAGTGCACCTTAGCTGTATTAGCTATAACACTGACATTGTTTGCCAATAGTCATCAGAGTATACTATGGCAAAAGAAGATAACTTTAATGATAATTTCTTTTATTTTTATATCATTTTGCAGTCTCTGAAGCATAAATTTTTGCCTTTGATGTTCAAATGCCTTTTCTCAGATTTGTTCTAGAGCTGAAACTTCCAAAATTTCTTCTATTACTTCTGTACTTCCTTTACTTCAACGAATTAAAGCAAATGTTTCTTGCTTTAACATTTTATTTAGTCATGGAATACAACCAAGCCACCTTATTTGAACTGAAGTTTATGTATTGATAAACTTTATAAGAATAAAAATACCAGCAAAAAAATGTTTTTGTTAAATCAGAACTAATCCAAGACCCACCTTTTTTTTTATGGTAATTACTAAGAATGGTAGCTTTAGAAAACAGTTATGGTTTAAAAATGCTTTGACCCCAAATGATATTACTGATTGTGTCTTCATGCAGGTCTACTTTAATTGTTAACATTGGATCTGGATTTTTTTTCGAGGTCTAGGGGGTTTTTTGGAACACTGTTGAAAGAAGGAACAGCATGGACTCAGTCACAGATTAATCAAGTCTGTGCCTTTAGCTACAGTTAGAATACTGAAACAGTGTTTCATCATTTCAGCAGAAAAGAACATGCAGAGTCTGTCATTTTACTACATTGACTGATCTTTGCCAGGTAATCTTTGATGTGTATTCAGAGCCTCCAATAGAATCACAAATTAGTTTTTCTTCCACCCAGGTCTGTCACACTTTTGCCTAGTTATATCCATGAGTTCATTTTCAAAACTTTGCAGTGGCTGCAAAATGAAGTGGCCACTTCCAGTGTTCAGAGATATTTGATTTAGTGCTAAGAGTGGAACAGTCATGTGTATTTAGAACACATATATAGATATCAGTAGTATGTGGTTATACATAAAGGATACACAAGAAATTTCTAACAGTAGATTAAATAAGGTGGGAGGAAGACTCCCTTATATCCTCTTAAAACTTTGAATGTAGAAGGTGTATGTATTTTAAAAAGTAAATAATGTATTGAAAGAAAAGGTAAGGTGAGAATATTATGTACTGTTTTATATCAGCTGTTAGAATCTAGGTGAAATGGATAATTAGCTGAAAAAAGTGAACTATCAAAATAGACTGAAGTAAAGACAGAAACCAAAGAATCCATAATTATATAATAAATTAAAGAAGTACTTAAATAATTATTCTAAATAATTATTCTTAGAAAAGGCATCAGGCCCAAAAAGATGTACAGGCCAGCTTTTCCAAAACTCATAAGAATAGACAACTTCTATGGCACAGCAACTATTAAGGAAAAAACAATCCTAATCCACAAAAATATTAAAAGAATTGTCAGTAAGGCCATTAATGATTAAAGAATCTTCTAAAAACAAGCCCTTACAGTATAATTTTAATTGTCTTATTTTCAGGTTCACCAGGCTGGTCTAACCTGTGATTATTCAGAACTTCCTCATCATATCAGCACAGAACAAGAAATTGAGTATTTTACTCAGTCTGTATATTATTTACTGAAAAATTTACCAAAACCTACTCTTGTGACAATCGCAAGGTAAGTGTGGTAGCCTGAATAATGGCCCACCAAAGATATATGTGTCCTGATCTCCAGAACCTGTGAATATGTTGCCTTATGTGGTAAAAGGGACTTCGCAGATGTGATTAACTCAATCAAGGATTTTGAAGTGAGATAGTCCTGGCTTATCTAGCGGGCCCGATGTAATCACAAGGGGTCCTATAAGAGGAGGGGCAAGAGTCAGAATCAGAGAAATTGGAAGTGCTAGGCTGCTGGCTTTGAAGATGGAGGAAGGGGGCCGCAAGCTGAGGAATGCAGGCAGCCTGTAGAAGCTGGAAAGGCAAGGAAACAGATCTCCCCTGGAGCCTAGAGGAGAAATGCAGCCCTGCTAGCCCCTTTATTTTAGGACATCTGACCTCCAGCAAAATTGTAAGATAATGAATTTGTGCTGTGTTAAGCCACTAAGTTTGTGGTAATTTGTTATAGCTGCAGTAGGAAATTAATAGTCTCCATAGATGAATCTAATGATTACTAATACAGTAATTCTTACCAATATTTTACCTGCTTAGCTTGAAATTCAGAAGTTATATGTTCTTTTTCCTATTAGTGATGGTTGGCAAACAACTTACAGCTCTTGTTATCTTGCCTTTGAAGTTGGTGATACTCAGATGAACACAAGAATTCCTATTTCTGTGTCCTACAAATGAAAGTTTAGCTGCCCCCATGTTTAAATTTGAACATACTAATGTGCTAAGTATTAAGTTGTTATAACAATTTAATAAAACCTTCTTTCTTTGTTAATCTCTGGGCTGATTTTGTATGCCATTGTGAGGTTAAGTATTTTAAATACTCAGGCAAATAATACTTACTTTATGACAAATATTTTGTAACATCCAAGGTGAAGTCACCAGCAGATTCAATGTTTTGTGAACCTGCTTCCTCATTTATAGACAGCCATCTTCTCCCTGTAACCACACATGGGTGAAGAAACAGTCTGGGGCCTTATTTATAAAAACATTCATCCCATTCATGAGGAGTCCACCCACTTGACCTAACCCCCAAAGGCGTCACCTCCAGATATGACCCCAATGGGGATTAGGTTTCAACGTAAGAAAATTTTGGTTCATTTTGTCTACAGCAATAACTTACCTATTCACTTAGTTTAAATACATGTTTATATATGTACACACAAAAGTTACTGTAAAGGAAAAATGAAAGTAACAAAATGCCACACTAAACTTGCATTTTTAGTGACAGTCATTCAATTAACAATTACAAATACAGATATGTGTGTGTTCTATTGGCCAGATACCATGAACAGCACTGCCATAGTGACATGGTGAACTTAAGAGTCATGTATTCCCTCAATTCACTGAGTAGCTGCTGGAAAACTTAGTTCATATTTAATGCATTTTTAAGACTATTTTGTTCATATGTAGAAGAGTACTAAATTCTAGGCTCAAAAAACAAAATTTTTTACTTATGAGTGCTCTGTGTACTTTGGAACAGGACAATTATTCATACACAGATTCATATTGCAGGATTGTCTACATATTACAAGCATTCTAACAGCCCTGCCCTCTTGCCCTGGCCCCCTAATTATCATTTTGTGACAACCAAAAATATATCTACAGATTTCTAAACTCCCTCCTTGGTGTAGCTCCCATCAAGAACCACTCTAATAGTGTTTTAAAGAAGTCAGAAATCACTGCAAAAGCATTCAAGTACTTCTTATTTGTAAAGGTTTATAAATTAAAATTTTGCATATGATACTTGGTTAAAATAGGTTTTTATCCATATGTATATGTCATAGTATTTAATAATTCAAAATTGCTTTATATCATTTATTCTGTGTTAAATATTTATATCAAGCCTCAAAAATGACATGACCACCAGATAATGGAATTAGTTCATTGGAAATCTTACAAATTACTTCTTTAGGTCTAAAATACTTGTGATAAAAAGTAGGCTAGATAACTAATTCCATTTCCTTCTATAAAGATTTTCTGTGCCACTCTTCCCAATCCATCCTCTGTATGGCTTTCCTTACCCCAGTCCAGAACCAGGAGACACTAATCAGGTCATGTCAGATCTTAATCCAGCTATAATTGTCAGTGGTATTATAACTCAGCCAAACAAAATTAACTTTCCTTTGCTAATCAGAAGATCCCTTCAAGGTTTTATGTGCTTTCATATTGTCAGTATGGACGTCAATTCTCATTACAGTTCCTTATTGCTGACACTGGTGACACTCAGGTTGTAGTTGGTGATTCTAGAAAGACTCCCAAAATACAGATCCCTGCCCCATCCCAGTTTGCTCTTTTCTCTGTAGTACCACCTAGGAAACTAATCCCAGCACCAGCATGCCCTCACATTTCATTTTGGATACTCCTGCACGCTTGTATAGTTAACAGGTTGTTTTTAAAAGCAGAAGCCTTTTATCAGTTGGAAAGCCTCTACCCTCATAATTTCTAGCCCTAGAGTACACAATAATAAAAGAATGAGGAAGATGTCCAGTCATTAAGATAAAAGCCCCAGTATTCCCACTGAACAGGGAAACAGCCATCTAGCGATTAAGCACTGAGGCTTTGAAGATAGGCCATATGGTTTCAAATCCTATCATCAATACTTACTAGCTATGTGACCTGTACAGATCAATCTATTTCAGGTTTCTTAAAAGGAAATATACCATTTCACAGAGTTTCTGAGAAAGTTAAAGAAAATAATTTGTGTAATGCTCTGGACGGAGTAAATGTCTAGTAGCTTTCAACTATTATTATTCCAAACTTCAACAGACCTTCATTTCTATTTTATGTTGAATCAACACATGTAGGATTTTCCTCACTGTGTAGTGTGACCTCATTCTATTTATGTGTATTTTTCTTTCTTTTCCTTTCTCTTGTTGGTTACAGATCAAGTCTGGATGATTACTGTCCTTCTGAGCAAGTTGACACCATTCAAGAAAAAGTCCTCAATGTGCTACGATCCCTCTATGGGACCCTAGACATTCACCTGGAGTACTCAGTAGAGTCTTCTCCATCTTGAAACAGCAAAACACTAGGCTCCTTTTACATCTTGATGTAGTAACAATGTTTTCATCTACTTATTGGTAATCAAGTTTTCCAGAAAACACTATTTCTTCAGTTAAAATCATTCAAGTATTTTAAATTTCCAAGGAAATATCATCCATTTTTGATGGCAACTTTTATGGCATCAAATCTATCCCCAGTTGGTGGAACTGTTACTTATCTTTCTTCCCTTCCATCATTGTTGTCTTCACTTTTGTGAGGTTTTTTTTCCTCTTTCCCCTTTCCCCTAGGTCAGTTGGACAGTTTTGAGGTTCATTCATTCATTTTTCACTCAACCCTCTGACATTTATTGAGCATTTACATGTTCCAGACGTAATTAAGTGCTGGGTATATGGTAATGAACAGAATAGACAAGGCCCCTGCCCTCTTCAAGGACAGCTGAGAAATAAATGATGGATTGTGAGAAGTGTTCTGAAGGAAAAGACAACCACAAAATGTTTGAGGCATGCTCTTAGTACTCAGGACACCCTGGCCTTATAGAAAAGTAACACTCTCAAAAGCTACTACCAAAAAATAAATAAACAAACTTGCCAGTCCATGAAAGTGTTTCAGGAAGTCTACCTTTACAAGACTGTTGGGATTGTGGCCCAGGTCTTGCTGAATGCTCCAAGCATTGTTTATATTTAGCAGGTCTATTTGGGTAAACTCAGCCAAACAAAATTAACTTTTCTTTTGCTAATCAGAAAAGCCCTTTAGGGTTTTATGTGCCTCCAGATGGTCAGTATGGACATGATTTATAACTACAGTTCCTTAGTGCCAATTTATTGGCAGTCTGGGTTGACAGTTTTTTCAAATAAACCTATGTAAATAGGGAAAAAAGTTAAATCCTTAATTCTTACCTGTCATAAATACCCAAAGACATAACTACCTTCCACCAGCCTCGCCATCAGTGGCTACCTGAGTCTGTCTTAAACATGGCACTTTTCACTACTTAATTTGCTAAAATCTTCCCCTCTTCTGTATCCCTCCTGTTCAGTAATCATTTTTATCTACCTCCTTGTTTTGTTTTCCTTTAAAAGGTAGGATGGCATTTAAAGAAAAAAACGTCCATCATCCTCAACCCTAACAGCAGTCCTTTTCATTTTTGTGTGGGACTTTGAGGCCTTGATCACATGTGTACCTGCTAAGTTGCAATGCAGCTGAAATTAAAAGTGTGCTAACCAATTTGATGGCCAATACCCAAGGTCACATTACCATTACCACTCAGTAGATGGCACCAGATCCCATTTCTCCAGTGATTGTATTTTCCAGGAAATTTTTCTCACCAAGTTGATTTCCAAGGCTGGTAGTGTGATGCTTATTATTTCTTTTGTGAAATGCAAAACAACATGATACAGCTTTCCATTTGAACAGAATATTATATGCCAAAAAGCTTTATTTCTCTGTAAGATCAGAATGGCAAAATAGTGCTGTTGTTTATTTTTAAATTAGAACATTTTTTGTTAGAATTCTGTTACTTTTATGGGTAAATTTTTTGTTTGCTAAAAGAAATAAAAAGGTTGAGGTTTTAAATATTTAAAACACTGTAGCACTAATTAATTGTATTTGATCTCAGTGTGTCCGTAGCACTGATCTCATGAGTCTGGCTTAGTAGTCATTTATTACAGTTCCCATAAACTGATGTGATTTATCATTGTTTTAACTCAGGTAGTATAAAAGGGCATCAATTTACTTTTTAGGAACACTCAGATTGTTTATTCTCATGCTCTGATTTTCTTTGAACAATAAAATTCAGTCCCTACTTGTTGACTAGAACCAGCTTAGTAAATTATATCTTTGTGCATTTCATATAGGAAGATACTTAGCTTATCAAAACATCCTTCATTTACTCCCTAAGAACCAATAAGGAGGGGGTGGAAAAAAGATGGCAGTGTGAGAAGTAAGGCAGAAACTTCCTCCCCAAATCACATAAAACATGAAAATATAGGAAATACACCTAATCCTGAAAAAGTGAACTGAAGACTGCAGAACAGACTGCCTACATCTGGGGAAGAATAGAGGACCTTGAGGAAAGGGTAAAGCGGCAAAGCCATGACCTGGTAAGACCCAAGTCCTTCCTCCTACCCCAGCCAACGGGTGGGAGGAAGAGGAATAGAGCAGGGAGGAATAAAAACCTAGGACCGCTGAACACCCAGCCATGGAGGTCTGCTCCAGGAGCACAAACACACATTTACATGGTGCTCTGGAGATTAGTGGGGATGGAAAGCAAAGATGGGCAGAATACTTGGAGAAACTGAGATTCCAGCCACTTGTGGAAAACAGCTACACACAACTGGCCCCTCTGGGACAAAACGAAGGCAGGCAGTTAAAAGGACTTCCCAGCAGTGAGAGAGGGGTACTAAAGGGGCAAAAATAACAGACCTGTCTGCTCAGGAGAAAGGGCAGATGGACAAAACCCCAGCATACTCAGTCCAGCAGGTTGGCAACTCTCAGGAGCTTCAGATACTCCATCGCCCTGGCTGGCAACACAGCCCTGAGACCCTGCCACTGTGCTATGCAGCCTGCTGTTCCTTCCTCCCAGCAGGCACCAGTCCTGCTCACCTGCCACCCTGCCATTGTGCCAAGCCAGCAGGAGGGTGGTTCCACAGATGGAAGCTACAGAGGCACAGCACAGAGCTTCTCTATGTGCACAGCCCACTGCAGCTGGCAGTAGAGGCAAGCATTATGACTCGGAAGGCAGGAAACCCTACCAGCTGAGCTCTTTTCTCCCAGCAAGCACCATTTCTGTTCGCCTGAGAACTCCACCATTGCAGCAAGTGCATGGCAGCTCCACAGAGTATTTTCCCTGTGTGCTCAATCAGGTGATGGCCCACACAGCTCACCTTACAAGCAAGCAAGAAAGGTACAAACCCACTGTTCACCAACACCTGGAGCTCCCACACAGGAAATTGAGGTTCTGGGCACTAGAGGGTGCTGTCTACACAAAGATTATTCCACAGGAAACACTAAAAAAATTACATGGCACAGGAATTTGGTCCAAACAAAATTACAATAAAAAATGCTAGTAAGAGGGCTTAATGAAACTCACATCACCAATTTTCTTGATAAAGATTTCAAAATGAAAGTCATAAACATGTTCACAGAGTTACAGAAAAATATTCAAGATCTCAGGGAGAACTTCAACAAAGAGAAATTTTGAAAAACACAGTATCTGAAATGAAACAATGGATTCAAAAGCAAATTAGATGAGATAGAGGAGGCAGTAAATGAAATAGAAACAGGAAAATGAAGCTGAGGCACAGAAAAAAGAATCCCTAGGAAATGAAGAAGAATAAGAGAACTGTGCAGCCAATCCAAATGGAACAATATTTGGATTATAGGAGTTCCAGAAGAGAGAGACGGAAGGATAGAGAGTCTCTTTGAGGAAATAATTGTTGGAAACTTCCCCATATGGGGATAGAAATAGTCACTCAGGTCATGGAAGTGCAGAGATCTCCCAACATAAGGAACTCTAGGAAGACAATGCCAAGACATAATTAAAATGGCAAAGATCAAGTACTGAAAGCAGCCAGAGAGAGAGAAAAGATCACTTATAAAGGAAACCATCTGGCTATGAGCAGACTACTCAGCAGAAGTCTGAGAGGAAGGCCAGGAAATGAGCCAAGCTCTTTCTTCCCAGCAGGCACCAGTTCCACTCACCTGTGACCCTTGCCATTGCTTCCCTTTCAGGCCAGAAGGGAGTGACATGATAAATGAATGCAATGATACAGAAGGGCCTCCAACCAAGAATACTCTACCCAGTAAAATTATCATTTCAGTTTGAAGGAGGGATTAAACAATTTCTAAATAAGCAAAAGTTGAGTGAATTCACCAACAACAAACTGTCTCTACAGTGTATGTTAATGTAACTGCTCCAGATGGACGTGCTCCTAAAGTTAAATAGCTGTCACCCGAGAAAATAAACCACAGTAAAATAAGTAGACCAATTAATTACGAAGCAAATACAGAATTAAATCAACTACTCAAAAAGTTAGTTGAGGAATACACAAAGAATATAACACCTAATATACAAAGAGTGGAGAAGGAAGAAAAAGAGGAGAGGAAAAAAAAAAANCAAGACCCATCTATATGCTGCACACAAGAGACCCACTTCAAGCCCAAATATATACACAGACTAAAAGTGAAAGGATGGAAAAAGATATTTCATGCAAATAATAGACAGGAGTAGCAGTACTTATAGATTTCAAAACAAAGTCACAAGAGACAATGAAGAACATTACCTAATGATAAAAGGGTCATTCCAACAAGAGGATAAAACCATTATAAATATCTGTACACCAAACAAGAGCACCTACATATGTGACACAAATACTAACAGAATTAAAGAGGGAAATAGAATGCATTCACTTTAGGAGACTTCAACACACCACTCACTCCAAAGGACAGATCAACCAGACAGAAAGTAAGTAAGGAGACAGAGGCACTAAACAACACATTAGAACAGATGGAACTAACAGACATCTAGAACACTCCAACCAAAGCAACACGATACACATTCTTCTCAAGTGCACATGGAACGTTTTCCAGAATATATCACATACTAGGCCACAAAAAGAGCCTCAGTAAATTCAGAAGGGTTGAAGTTGTACCAACCAGCCTTTCAGACCACAAATGTATGAAACTAGAAATGAATTATGCAAAGAAAACAAAAAAGCACACAAGCACATGGAAGATTAAGAATATATTCCTAAATAAAAGGGTCAATAACCAAGTAAAAACAGAAATCAAGCAATACATGGAGACAAATGAAAACAGCAACTCAACACCCCAAAACCTGTGGGACATGGTGAAGGCCATCAATACATGGAGACAAATGAAAACAACAACTCAACACCCCAAAACCTGTGGGACACGGTGAAGGCCATGCTAAGAGGAAAGTATATAGCCATACAGGCTTACCACAGGAAAGAACAATCCCAAATGAACAGTCTGAACTACAATTAATGTAACTAGAAAAAGAAGAACAAATGAGGCCCAAAGTCAGTAGAAGGAGGATGTAATAAAGATCAGAGCAGAAATAAAAATTGAGAAGAATGAAATAGAAAGAATCTATGAAAGCAAGAGCTGGTTCATCAAGAAAATTAACAAAATAGATAAACCCCAAGCCAGACTTATCAAGAAAAAGAGTCTCCACACTTAAACAGAATCAGAAATGAGAAAGGAAAAATCACTACAAATACAACAGAAATACAAAGAATTATTAAAGAATATAGATAAATCATATGCTAACAAATTGGAAAACCAGAAGAAATGGACAACTTTCTAGAAAAATACAACCTTCCAAGACTGACCAAGGAAGAAACAGAAAATATAAACAGACCAATTACCAATAATGAAATTGAATTGGTAATCAAAAAACTCCCAAAGAACAAAAGCCCTGGAATGTGGCTTCACCACAGAATTTTATCAGACATTTAGTGAAGACCTAATACCCATCCTTAAAGTTTTCCAAAAAGTAGAAGAGGTGGGAATACTTCCAAACTTATTCTATGAGGCCAGCATCACTCTTAATACCACAGTCAGGCAAAGACACCACAAAAAAAGAAAACTACAGACCAATATCCCATTGATGAACATAGATGCAAAAATGCTCAAGAAAATATTAGCAAACTGAATTCAAAAATACATCAAAAAGATCATCCATCATGATCAAGTGGGATTTATTCCAGGGATGCATGGTTGGTACAGTATTTGAAAACCCATCAACATCATACACCAGGTCAACAAAAGGATGGACAAAAATCACATGATCATTTAAATAGATGCTGAGAAAGCATTTGACAAAATTCAACATCCATTCATGATAAAACCTCTAAACAAATGGGTACAGAGGGCAAGTGCTTCAACATAATAAAGACCATATGTGATAAACCCACAGCCAACATCATACTTAACAGCAAGAAGCTGAAAGCTTTTCCCCTAAGATCAGGAACAAGACAAGGATGTCCACTCTCCCCACTTTAATTCAACATAGTACTGGAGGTTCTAGTAATGGCATTAAGACAACACAAAGAAATAAAAGGCATCCAGATTGGTAAGGAAGAAGTTAAACTATCACTGTTTGCAGATGACATGATATTGTACATAAAAATCCCTCAAAAATCTACCCCAAAACTCCTAGAACTAGTAACTGTATTCACCAAAGTTGCAAGATACAAAATCAATACACAGAAATCTGTGGCATTCCTGTAAACTAATGATGAACTAGAAGAAAGAGAAATCAGGAAAATAACTGCATTTACATATGCATCAAAAAGAATAAAATACCTAGGAATAATCCTAACCAAGGAGGTGAAAGAGATGTACCCTCAAAACCACAAGACACTCATGAGAGAAATTAAAGAAGACAGCAATGTATATAAATACATCCCATGCTCATGGATAGGAAGAATTAACATTGTCAAAATGGCCATCTGGCCTAAAGCTATCTACAGATTCAGTGCAATCCCTATCAAAATTCCAACATCATTCTTCAATGAATTAGAACTAATTGTTCTAAAATTCATAAAGAACCACAAATGACCCAGAATAGCCAAAGCAATCTTGAGAAGGAAGGACAAAGCTGGGGGGATTAGGCTTCCCAACTTCAAGCTCTACTACAAACCCACAGTAATGAAGACAGTTTGGTACTGGCACAAGAACAGATCCATAGATCAATGGAACAGACTAGAGAGCCCTGATATAAACTCAAGCATATATGGTCAATTAATATAGGATAAAGGAGCAATGGACATACAATGGGGAAATGACAG